GGGGCAGGGATTCATCCTGTTAGCTTCATCCTTACCATAAGAAAAGTTGTCACGGTCCACAAACATCCCCTGTCCACCGCAGCAGTTACTTTAGCAATTTAATCAGGGAGTCCTTTAATTTTTGAAAAGCAAAATAAAAATGTCAAATGTTTTAACAGTACGAAGAAAGAGAGGGTCTCCGACCAAAAATAAAAACAGGGGAAATAGAGTGTATCTCTTGAACAGCCCCCTTGTGTGGCCATCCTCCAACAGTCCGCTTTTCATTCGTGTGCTTCTTACAACTAACCTAAAAGTAGAATTTTTCCCTCAAAACAATTTGTCTAGTTCGATTGAAGGGCCGCAAATCATCAGTGATTTTTAGACGTATTTTAGTTGAGAGAAACCACAAAAGGAAAAGTTAGCTATTGCTACGCACCGCGCGTAAGCAACGACGAGGAGACTATATATTTACTCCTAGTCACCCTCCTACCCAAGCAAGTTTCATGACTCTCGATCACCTCAGTCATCTAGCCAAATATTTAACTATAAAGCAAGACGGTGGAACGATATTCGAGCGCAGAAAATAAATGGACATTTCATGATCTATCTCGTGGTCTACTATGTTAATAGTTGTTTAATCAGTAATGGAAGCTACTATTGTACTACAGTTTAGCTAGTGTCTCTGATCGGGCCCGTGTCGAGAGTCGTCTCATGGTCTGCATTTCGAACGAAGCTTTCCCGTTGGTCTTTCTTCCCTTTCTTCCCCATGTAACAATCCAAAGAAAAGCTCTCTTGCAGTTGTTCAGACGCCATGAATACACAAACGGGTTCATAGAACTGTTTGCTATAATGAGTAGAAACTGAACGTCACGCGAGTACAACACAAGGTCACAGTTGCATGTGGAGCATAAGTTGATGATATATATGCCGGCACATGCAGGCAGATAACAGCAAATGAACAACACTAACATGATAAGTAATGTCTTGGTTATCTTTTGCTCCCAGCGCATTCTGATTTTCTTAGCGCGATTATCCTCTGTGCTGTCATGTAAACTGTCCCATTCACGAACTTGACGACGAAATATCTTGTAAATACGCACATAAGCAAATAGTAGAACTAGGAAAGTCAACACGACTGCAGTATTTGCGAATAGAAATGCGTAGCTAAAGAAACCCAAGTACAGATACGCAAAAGGAAAGGTCAGTGAAATCGTCCAAACCATAACACAGGCAAATAGAGCCCGCAAAGGACTCAAGTTTGCTCTGTATCGAAATGGTGCTGTTATGGCGACGTAACGATCCACTGTGAGGGCGGCCAGACTCAGAACAGAAGCCGTGCACGAAATAAAGAAAGGCATGTGGACAGCAGTACTGAGAACGTCATAGTCGATCGCTCCAAGAGCGTTTTTTATGTGGTAATAGGCTGAAACTGGTTCTGTCACAAGACCCACTAACAAGTCCGCCATCGCAAGATTCGCCACCAAGTACATGAACGGAGAACGTAAGTCTCTGTTCGGATCAATGAACACTGCCATAACCACGATAAGATTTCCCGGCACAGTGATGAGACATAGAAGCGCTGAAACCCCGCCAGTTATGAATGGAAGGATGACTGGGGCGCTTGAATTCACACATGGTGTTTCAAAGAATATAAAAGTGTCGTCCATATTGTTAGCTTTTTTAATTCAGTGTGAGCAATGGTAGAAACGTAGTACAATGCTTACTTGGCCGGTTTCCAGTTTAGTTCTTCTTATGTGACAGCTGCCTGGCTGACCACAGGCGGCCCAAGCGCACTGTGTGTGACTTTGGGGTGGAAAGTTCATTAAAGGCAATAACTAACATATTAACATCGAATTTCAAGCGTACGTGTGGGCCGTTAAAAAAAGGACAAATTAAAAAAAAAAAATAAGAAAAAATTTACAAGGATAATAAAAGCGAGACTAAAACATGCGAAGTCTCCTTACCTTTTCTCTATAGCCGCTTTGTTGCCAACGGTCGTTTTAACGCTGTTTTGGCGACTTGCGTGCGGTGTCACCGGTCAACTTTGAAATAGGAAAAATTATAAAAAAAAATTAAGAAAAAATTAAAAAGGAAAATAAAAGCGAGGAATATATCGTATGAAGTCTCCTTCCCTTTTTTCCGTAGCTGCTTTGTCGTTTACGGTCCATTTAAAGCTGTTTTGGCTTTTTAATTTTTTCTTAATCTTTTTTTTTTTATAATTTTTCCTATTTTACAACAGTTGACCGGTGACACCGCAAGCGTTACAAAGCAAGTCGGAAAAACAGCGTTAAAACGACCGTTGGCAACAAAGCAGCTACGGAAAAAGGTAAGGATACTTCGCTTGCTTTATTCTTCGCTTTTATTATCCTTCTAAATTTTTTCTTTTCTTTTATAATTTGTCTTTTTTTAACGGCCCACACGTACGCTTGAAGTTCGATCTTAAAATGTTAGTTATTGCCATTAATGAACTTTACACGCCAGTCACATACAGTACGCTTGGGCCGCCTGTGGGCTGACAAGCCATTTAAATGATGTAACTCATCCTGATTGGGGAGAGGTAAGCAGAGTTTACGTTGCCATCAATTCATTGTTTTATCTTATTTGGTTAGAAATAAGACACTAGATTTCCGTTTCTTTGATGATCATCCAGTGAGGGGTGAGCAGAGTAAACACGTATAAACTGACCTCTTTAGTCATTTACGTGACAGGATAGGTCACCATATGCATGGTCTGGATTAAAACGGGGAGTATTTGTCTTCTAAAAATATTTCCGATGACAGGATAAGTTCTACTTGCATAAAAGGAAAATCTGATTGATTGAATGCACGTACAACCTCAGTCAAAAAAAGGAAAATAATTACTTCAATTTTATAACGATTAAAGGAAAATTGCCACCTGCCATCAGGAGTGATTATGTGTTTGTTATGTATAGCAAACTGCTTTCCTTTGTCTCTCTCAGTTATGAGGCCTCGATACGATGATACGCGTCTCACATTTTCGGTTAATATTTAGCCCAGTAGTATGGGTGTGACGGCGAGTTCTTTTGTTCAAGAGGACATCAGCTCATGGCCCTTTTTATGATACTTGAAGGTAAATCAAAAAACCTCCTTCTACTGAACGTCAACAGTCTTTCCTCGCATGCGTACTTCCAGGATATTGCAATCAAGCATTCTAGATTTGACTTTTCGGCTTGAACGCTCTGGGTTTGGTCTGTGAAAACATGCCCCCCCCTCCCCCCCCCTCAGCCGGAGGAAGTGTTTTTGTACATGGTCAACCTAGGCATGACTAAGGTCTATGATAATTGTTTGCAGCCCAAAGTTGGACGATGACACCGTCGTCAATTTTTATGGGAGCTTCTGACTGACGAGACCCCTCCCCAACTCGGCACGAAAAGGAAAGAAAAAAAGGCAGGAATTCCCGATGGAAAGTTCAGGTAGATAAAAATAAATCAATAAAAACTCTAAAGGAAGTGGTAAACGTTCAGTAATGATGGTGTACGTGCATAAGACGGCAAAGCTAAAAAGTAATGAACATTCTAGTAAAATCTACTAATACATTTTCTTTCCGAGTCCGCCCCGCGATTAAGAAGAATTCACCAAAAATAAAACGATTCTAAAGATGCACAACAACCCCTAATTGTTACACAGCAAGCATCGTACTATTTCTTTTTAGCGATTGTTACGTCTAAGGAGAGGTCTGCGTACTTAGGCGTTCAAATTGCTTTGAATGTAAGCAGACATCAAGAACATACATTCGCTAAATTTTTCCTTGCCTTTCGAATTTTTGCAGCGTGGAATTTGATTACACCCTCTTTTTTATATCAGCCATAAATTTTATAACAGGATGGCCCCTTGGTTGTTTCTGACATACCTCTTTCCTTCCGGGAAGTTATTTTTTGGAGAGGTCTACAAGCACTTCCCATCCCTGAACGGCTAGATTGGTTTTGGTTTTTGTCTCTTACATAGTGTTTGGGATGTCAAATCTCCTCCATCATGATGCATTCTGAAGGATATTGATGCACTTACTTGGTGGTTAACCAAGGATCGTAATCCGCGGGATTCGTAATCCGCGGGACGCGTAATCCGCCCGTTCTTTGATATTACTCTCCCCTTCCCCCCTCCCCTTCGCTTTGTCACTCGTCCCAAATCTTCCACCCGTCCAATATGGCGACCGAATATTCGCTGCGCTGAATCTCGCGCTTGAAAACACAGCTAAAGCCTGCAAACAGGCTAACTGTTGTGTCTTTGAAGTAACTTTTTGAGGTAGCCATTTTTAGTTGATGTTTTTCTTTTTCTGATAGTTTATTCACAGTTAAGTTAAGGATAAAAACATATGTTTTAGAACTTGATAGAAATCGTTATCACTATCAACCAATCATGCCTTTGCTTCTCTCGTCTTGATAGGTTTCAACTTGTAAACAGGTAGTAGCTGGCGAGTGTTTTTCACCTCGAAAGCAACCATGACTAAAGAGCCTATGATATTTTTTCAGGTTTCAACCTCAAGGGTGGTGCCTTATGAAGCATGCCATGAGTCAAAATATTAGAGAGAGCAATAGAAAGTGGAATCTCTCAAAGTTTCTGTTGACCCAGGAAGAACCATATCTTCCTAAACGAAACTTGAGTGTTCTCACCTCCCGGGAAGACTTCGTGTTATACAGCTAGTTTATTTATTTATACTTAACGGCTAATCCAAATAGAAATCAAAAGAAAATTAACAAGAAAACAAAGAAAAACTACAGGGATAATCCTTTACGAGTCCTTGACCCCCTATGAGGACAGGTAACCATGCCAATAGATGAAAATGATGAAAATATGCCCAAGCTTAGAATTTCGAAATCTCTATAAACTGAACATTTTTACTTTAGTGAGAAAAAACTTCCCATCACTTTTATGTAAATATCGTTAAAAATATGTCAACTTCTGCTTTACAATTATTAACTTTAATTCTTTGTTCAATGAAGTTTTTGGCCAAGCGATTGCAAGCGTCCGTGAACCTGGAAAAAAACTTTCAAGGACATCATCTCTCGGCAAATTTCTTCTATAAAAGGGAATTATCTCAATTATGATTAAAAGCCTGTGTTTGCAACACTACATCTCTGACCATCTCTGACAAGGCGATCAGGCGTCCCCCTCCCCCCCTTCCCCCCTCCCGGTCCCCCTCAAAAGCCACAAGGTCTCATTGAAAACTATCCCAACCATTTAATGTAACTAGTGTTTGTGTCCAAATACTAGTCGACTTAACGGCTAACTATCGCAAGGCCAGTGCAGAGTTTCCTTGACAGCCGTCACTGAGATGAAAGAGCTATCCCTTTCAAGTAATGAACACCAGTTGAATGCAGTCGCTTCTGTAACTGTTTGAATTCTATTATATCTCGGATTGAACTCAATGCTGATATGGAGGGCACGCGTCAGAATGTATGCTCTTTAGTGTCGACACGCACTGGAGAAATACGTCTACTGATATCGATTATTGGTGTCCGATACCATCCGAGATAATCCCAGTGGCTCTCCAAAACAGATCGTCTCCAAAGAGATCGCTCTCGAAAAGAGATCATCTGTGATCTCACTAACAGTATCAATTGACGAAGATTTTCTCTCTAACCTGCGAAGAGGAAAATTCGATATCTCGGTGAGTCTTAAAGAAATGGTTAACGATGTAGGAGTGAGTGTTCTCAACGAAACTGTTGACAGAAAGAAGGTTGCCGGAAATAACTATAATACAAACGGTAAGATCTTTGAAAAAACCGCAAGATTCCTTGTATTCAAAGCAGAGAGCTAAAAATATCATCAAATATGTGTTGAAATCTTAGTTTCTGACCTTCAAACTGCTAAAATTAATCAAAACAGTAATTAGAGTTACCTCAAGCCGTGATAGAAAAGTGAAAGGTTTTACTGAAAAATTTTGCTAAAAATGGAAATAAGTTGAACTTAAATTGAGAACAGAAATGTCTACAACAAGCATGCCAAACAAAAAGGAGAAGAAAAAACTTGGAAAGCAATGTAGCGTATTTAGGCCATATAGATAGTAGACGTGACAACGGAATTATGGCACTTGACTACTTTTACATCTCGCAAAGAGATTAACAATAAATCTTCTTTTACTATAACAGGCTTAATAAAAAATCTTGTTAGTTTTCAGTAATAATGTCTTTTATTTCAATTGTATTGAGTGAGAAGTCAATTAAAACGAACGACCTTGAACTTTAACTGAATGACCATCAAGAACATGGCCAAAAAACTGAACAAGTAAATATGAAAGAATCAACAAACGAAACAACTGTTGAAAGAAGAAAACATCTGTGGCATGTTCATGGAACCAGGTGTTGCCACAACCTTTTTTTATTAGTCTCTCATCCTTAAAATACTTTGAATTCAAATGTACTCGAGTTCTATTTTTATCCAGCAATACTGTCATATCTACAGATTTATCGGCACTCAATTTGTTGATTAATTTGGTGGAGGCGTACTAAATTCTGTTGACAGTCATTGATTAGGCAACCTTACAAGTGATAAATAGGCGAGAGCACTCGGCCTTTTAAGCTTATTTGCCAATCTTACACTTTTTTTAGCTAGTTAGAGATGGTTAGGCAAATTAAAGTTGAAAATCTTTATCCAGATTTGTGTAATTGTAGACACACGTGATACGGTTTGAGTGAGATAAAACAATTTAATTCTTGAGCTACTGAACTCTGCGACGCGAAAAGTTAGTCAGTTCTCATTGCTTTCAATTTTTACTTAAAATATTTCTCTCCTAGCAATATTTCCGAATCGCTAATTAAAAAAATGCCTCTCTGTTGGCTAAATTTCCGGCCAAACACC